GTGTCAATGATGCAGCTTCGAGAGGCTATAGGTGGGCAACCTGCAGGGCCAGGTGTCAATCAAGTGCCTTCGAGAGGCCGTAGGTTGGCAACCCACAGGGCTCAGTCACTCTGCAGGTGTCAATGATGCAGCTTTGAGAGCGCAACCTGCAGGGCCAAGTGTCAAACAAGTGCCTTCGAGAGGCCGTAGGTTGGCAACCTACAGGGCTCAGTCACTCTGCAAGTGTCAATCAAGTGCCTTCGAGAGGCCGTTGGTTGGCAGCCTGCAGGGCTCAGTCAGTCTGCAGGTGTCAATGATGCAGCTTCGAGAGTTGCCAGGGTGGGGCTGAGTCGAGCAGCCACCCTCGAAGTGTCAATGGCACACAGTCATTTGCAAAGCCGAGCTGTTTTGCAAGCAAGGTCCCCAAAACGGTTGTAGTTTGCCCTGGCTTGGGCTATTTAGCTCCAATCCATGACATCGAAGAGTCACAGTTCCGCTGGCGAAGCAAATCAGAACTCCCTCCTGAAAACCTGACATGTTGCGGCAACAACCGTGTGGGATTGTAGTAGTGTCAGCTTCAGGGATTTGAAACCTTTTGAACGCCACACGGGTTCCGATGAGGTCTACAAACTCTACAAGAGCGCCGGGGAGGTGGGCCAGCGAACGCTGAACATGTGGGCCAAGGACTGACAATGGCTTTTGTTTGGGGGGAGGGGCTGCGAAAAAAGGAAGCCCATGAGTAGAGCCCAGTCCAGGATGCTGACTCCCAAACAGATGGTGACTCTTCTCATTGTTGAGCTAGGTAGATGGTGGAAGATGTGGGATGATTCGGCATGTCCTTGTGCTGGAAGGCTAGCTGACTTTTGCATCGAAAGGTTGCAGGCGCAATGCACTGCGGGCTGATCATTTTTCTTTTGAACCTGAGGCTTTTCCTCCAGATATGGGCAACCCAAAGTTTCTGATGAGCACTCACCTAATGTGCCAAGAGGTTGGACGACCCAAACAACCTCCCTAGCAGCTTGCTGCGAAGACTGCGGTTTGGGCAATGGGAGGGCCTTGTCCATTGAAAGTAGGAGCTTGGTTTGCCGACAGCTGCGAACCACGTACGTGCACGTGGCGCAAGATCCTGTGTTCCAGGAACACGAAGCTCCAGGAACACGAAGCGCTTTGCAGCTTTTCCTTTGAGCGAAGACCCCCGTCAACATTTTTTACCCACTTGGACTTGGAGCCTTGAACCAGCGCAGGATCAGATTTTGGACCAAGATGCCATCGAGCCGGGGTTCCATCGCTTCAAGTGTCCAATGCTGGCCTTCGGAGCGGAACTGTCGTGGCGAACCTGGGTGAAGCTGGATGAGCTGCCTGAGGCAGATCAGGAGATGGTGAAGAAGAAGATGGAGATCGGTGGGGCCCTGTATTTGGGGGGCCGGGGTCCGGAGAGTGCGGGGGACACCTGCAGTTTCGGAGTCGATTTTGGCACCTGCCATGACAGGTGTTTGAGGCTTGAGGGACATTTTGAGACGGTTCAGGCTCAGGAAAGAAAACATGAAACCGCCTCCGGGTGGTTGTTGATTTGGGTTTTTTCATTCTACTTCCTTCCCATCCTTCCCATCCTTCCCATCCTTCTCTCTGTGGCGTCCAAGCGATCAGCGCGCTTATGGCGCGCGCCGCGCGAGGGAAAACGAGCCGAGCCAGGTGCGTACATGAAGCAGCGGGAAGACAAAGTCTTTCAGGGCCACTTTCCCGAGTGGACTTACGAGACGTGGCCAGACTGGACGGAGCACCCGGCCGGCTGCCGCGTCATCGAGTGCAAGGGCACCAACCATATGGACATCAAGCTGGATGGACACTTTAAGCATGAGCTATGGAAGGCTCTGAGCAAAACCATCGAGAGCTTTTAGATGGGGCCCGTGCCTGCCCGGTGGGCTTGCTGGCTCCGTGAACCTGCGACGCAGAGGGTTTTCCCATCCTGACCAGCTCCTGGCGGATGTTCTGGGACGGTCGCGCCGTAGGAGCGCGGCTCTCTCAGGGGTGATCGTCTCTTCAGGGGTGGCCCCCGGTGGAACGGACGGAAAAAGCGGCGGCGACCCTGAGCAGTATGGACCTGGTCATGAAAATCACACGGTTGAAACAGAAGGGGCCAGGTTGAAACCGGTGTCTTAAGACGCAAAGTCTTTGATAGTTTCCTTTTCTTTTGTAGACTGGGGGCCGCCCTTGGCGCTCTTCACCCTTCAAAAGACTTCAGCAGTTAGTTCTGCCTGCGCTTCCTGCTCCAAGAGGAAAAAAGGGACGAGAAATGCCGTGGTCTTCGCTTTCCACACGCACATCAGGTAGGGTGGTGATCTGCCTGTCAGACGGGGTCCGGTGCCGTTTGGTCCGTGTGCGAACGGAGGACCGTTCGGTGGATGGCACCTGGTGGCCCAACCTGACGTCCTCCTCAGCCTACTGTGGCATGTCATTCGTGGCCAAGTGGCCTGGCTGAGGGTTGGATGCCTTGGATCGCCTGGCGGAAATCTGACTTCTCTGGTGGAAGAGTGGTGTAGTGAAACCGTTTGATGTCAGAGTCCGGCCGAGTTTTCCCTGAGGCATTTCCACTTGCATCACCGGAACTGTGTCAGCTGGCCATCACCAGGTACGCCGATGGCATGTCGTGGGGCAGCGACTCCATCAGCTGCATCCGGCCAAAGGATGAGCTCAGCACGCTGTTCTACGCGAGCTCGAACCAGATGCAGGCGGGCTCGTTGCGACTCACTCGTGACTCGTGGCCTGCTACCTGCAGACTTGCCCGCACTACGTGACCGGCTGGCCTTCTCAAAGCAGCGAAGTTGTTATCCTTCTGTGGTCAGAGAGCCCCAAGACGTCGCCTCACGGCTCGGGCAAACCCAGCCCCCAAAAGCAAAAAAGACACTCCTCCTGTTCACGGGGGGCCCAACGAGGTGGCGTTCTCACTCGCGGAAGGCTTGAATCCTCAATTCAACACCAGCGAGGCACGGCTGAGGAGGTTTTGGTGCGTGGCGACGCACGGGGTTAGGACCGCTGGAGGTGAAGAAGAGGAGGGCGTGAAGTAGCATAACACGGAGCGGATTTTTTGGACAAATATGAACATGGAGGTCGTGTGGTGAACTTGGAGATAGTGGGCCCTCTGATTCGGCCTGCGTCTGATTCGGCCTGCCCGGCTGCCAGGTGTATTTGTACGAAGCCATCGAGCAGTCCACAATTGTGTTTGAGGCGTGATGCCGTTCAAAAACGGCAGACACCTCTATGAGTGGCCGAGAGGAGACTCTTCGCTTTGTGTTGGAGACACTCCGCTTGGGCCAAGGGAGATGCATGGTGTTGGCACTCCAATCGCCAGACCTCACGGGCAACCTCCAGTTTCAAGGGGTTGAAGTTGCCCTGGTTTTGACGCGCCGCCACGCGTCCTTCACCGATCCGACCGCCTGCGCCAAGCGCCAAGCGCCGCCCATGGTCGACCCGACCGCTGGAGGTCTCTTTCTCGACTTCGCGCGAGACGGTCTCCCACCTCCCGGGCTGCTGGGTGGCGGGGCTCCCGAATCGCTACGCGCAGCTCGTGCCCGGTGCCGACTATGGCGAGGGCTACTTGATGTTGAGCGTGGAGGCTGCACGCCGTTTGGACGTCACTGAGGGGGGTTTTGAAGTCGAGGCGTGATAAGGCGTGTGGACTTGGGGGCTGGTGGAGAAGTCTTTTCTGGAGACATGCTCGCTGGTGTGCGGGATTTCTGGAGGAAATATCGGCCGTCGACTGTCGACGTCGGAACGTTTCATGCAACACTGGTTTTGTTCTATTTTTCTTGGAGCTTTTTCTTCCATCCAGCCACCCAATGGTCTCAGTGTCTCCCTTTCTTCGTAGCTGTGTTTGCTGGCCGGCCCTGCGGTAGGATGTGCTGTCCGCCGCTGGGAGGAGAATGGAAGACTTTGGAAGCGAAGGACGGACGGCTTGGACGGTTCGGGGGTGGAAAAGTGGGGCTGCTTGGCGGGGCAGGGATTGGGTGAGTTCATGTGATGTCACCAAGCTCCACGGAAAGGATTCGTAAAAGTATCAAGATCGGTGGATCGGTTGGGTAGATGGCAGATAGCTCTATGATGCTCTATGATGCTCCTCTTTCCCCTTTTAATCTACATGCTCTATACATGCTCCCTTTGGGTGGTAGCTTCATGTCGCTCCCAATCGGGCAGAAGGTCTGGCCATGGGATGGATCCGACCAGTCCCATGGGGCGCGAGCGGATGGTTTCCGCCTGATGGTTGAGGTGAAAGGACCCGGTTGGACTGGGTCTTTGGATCTGTAGGACGGTCTTGGGTCGACTCCAGTCTCAGGGAGTGCACCCCGCGCAGCGCAGCTAGGCGCGCAGCTGCGCTTGTCGGGTGTGGAGATCGTCGCGCGGGTGGATGTGCGCAACTACCACCGGCCCTTCACGTGGCCGTTCCATAGCTGGAACCTGGGCGGAGATGGAGTCGTCGAGTCGTCGGGTCGTCGGCGTCGTCGGGGCACTGGAGAAGACTTGATGGCGGGTGAGATGGGAAGACTCGACTCCTTGGGGAGGCCTTTGGGTCGATCAGGTTCATGAAGGCGAACGCCCAAGAGAGAGGGACGCGAGGGGCAACTGGGACCTTCTGTTTGTACAGTGGAGAGTCACTCATAGTCTTTGCAACGACACGTGACCTGCATGTGTTCATACGATACGACACGTAGCAGTATCATACAGTACTGTAGGCATGTAACTGAAGATTTTTCCACTCGAGTTGCCGGTCTTGAAGCCTTTCGCAGCCAAGGAATCCTTGGAGGCTTCCGGAAGCCCGGGAGCTGGAGTGCACCGTGCATTTCGATGTGCTGAGAGATCAGTTTAACGTCGTGTCGCTGGGCGGCATCGAGTCCGCGTCGGTTCAGCGTGTGTGCCATGGCTCAACGAGTTCGACGCACTGATTTCGACGCTTTCCTCGGGGTGCACGTCGACGATCCACGATTTGTTGTTGTTTGATGTCAGGGGGGTTGTGGTAGAAGACAGCGGGATGCGGCTGGTTGGTTCTGGTGTGCTGTAAAATGTCAGCTGAGGGCTGAGGGTCACAGAAAGGCCTGCTGAGAGGCTTCTGAACAAACTACCCTCAGCTAACTCTATTTTTCTCAAGGTGCGGGCAAGATCGGGCAAGTGGGTGGGCAGGAGTCAGGAGAAAAGACAATTGTGTTCCGCATTTCGGAAGGGACAGTCTGTGGTTTTGCATAGGACCTTCGTCACAAAAGCTGCAGAAGTCTTCAAGAATCCCCACCATCTTCTAAAGTGAATCTCACTGACTTCAACATCTTCAACGTCTCAGCACACTCTTGACACTCTTGACCCCCTTTGCTAGTCCCAACACTCTTCGACCACCGCCATCAGGCAGTGGTTTCATGAAGGCCGCCGGCCCATTGCTTTGCAGCACGGCATGCGCTTGGCGGTCGTGGGCACTGGCTCCGTGGGGTACGTCAGCCTCCAACAGCTGGCAACCCAGGTTGGCCAACTTGCGCATGTGCTTGCCTGGATGAGGGGTGTTCTAGAAGTGGTATTTGGCCTCCAGATCATGCTCCCACCAATAATAATCTCACCACTATAATTATACACCAAGAATGGGACCCTGAAAGACCGTTTTCTCCTACAACCATAGGTATTCAGGGTCCATGTTGGTTTTCCACGGGGTAGCGGTTTTGTACCACGATCGGAGGGGTCCCTTCCTGGTTGGGAACGTCCGAGCGCCAGCGCTAGGTGCTGTTGGGCTTCACAGCCTTTGGACTAGCGCAGACCTGCCTGGACTACGGGTGGCCCGGCGAAGCGGTTGCCCATCCCTTGTGGCAGCCACACGGGCATCATACATAATTTCAATTAATTTCACTTGTTTAAGGATTCAATATGTTCGAGTCACTCTGGGAGGATGAACGGGTTTTGCCCAACTGGTAGGGAACGTAACGGTTTGTGGTCAGATGGCTCCAACTCGTCCATACAACGCCTCCCCCATCCAATCTTACCCATCAGATGAGTGACCTGGTACATGGTTGCAAGTTCTACAGGGTAGGTGTGGGTAGGTCTTCCGTGAGAGATTTGGCAAAATCTAAGTGCCTGCCTTCCCCGATCCGATCTTGCTAGGTGGTTCTACTTGCACCGGCAGTCCTCCTTCATCGCCGATCGCGCCTTCCTGCGCGTGAACCTGGACGACCGCGGAACCGCCGCCCCGGCCGGCGCGGGCGGGGGCGTGTCAGCGGCCGTGTCGGCCTCAAAGAAAGGCGACTGACGAGGTGGCCGAAAACCCAGCCGCGTGGGTCCTGGGGCGGGCGGGATGTTGCTGGGGTTGAGGAGCTCAGCGCGGGGTGGTCTCCCCGCGGCTTTTAGTAATTTTGGCCGGAGAAGCTCGGTGTTTCTTGATGGTCAGGCCTTGTTCAACAGGGGGGGGGCGTTTTGTCAGCCCCACATGTGCCATCCTCATTCTGTGGATGAATGGTTTGCAGGGGTTGCGAATCATAGAACTGGACCAGGGGAGTTGCTACAAGAAAGGACTTGAAAAAGTCAAATCTCGGATCCAAAGTACCTGACCTGTGCAAGCTCTGGATAGCTCTGGAAGATCACAGAAAGCAGAAGGACTTGTTGTGAACTACCTTACATGTTTCACATTAAAAACTGGCCGAGTTCCTTGTAACTTCGAGTGTTTAACATTAAAGCCTGTCCATCAAGCAACGTCTTCGCAGCGTTTCCACATCGAGCCACAACATGGAATATGGAACAGGCAGATTTCAGAGCTCCCTCGGCCCAGGTGGCGCATCAACCGTCATCAGCCCACCATAGACAAAATCCCACCACCCCTGCATCAGGCACCTTGAAGCAAAGCTATGTGAAAGGCTGAAAGGCTCGCTACTATTGGCCAAATGAAGCTTGCATCACTGTGAATTCCTGTCCGCAATAGCCAGTCATTTTCCGTCAGATGATCTCGAGCAGCTTTGTTTCCTTTTGAGTACACGAGTTGGTCGTCTTCAGCGGTTTCGCCCCACCCAACTGCAGAAATATGGAGCAACCTTCCATCCCAGTGGGCCCAGACCAGGTCAGCAACCCCGCACTGATCTTTTCACAGCCACCCAAGCTCCGAACGTCGCCACCCGAGCGATTCTGCCGATGCAATTCTTCAAGCCCCTGGCACCTCCGCTGGGCCATGCGCACCGCTTGCAGCAGGCTGACTCGGCCAGCCGGTCATCCGAACGGGTTGATCAGGCAGACAAGAACAGCATCAGACCCAAGAGAAGCCAATTGTGAATCCTTTTGTTTCTTTACTTTAATTTGTGTGCGTGTGGGGTCCATTTCTTATTGTTGCTCTGGTGGACTGTAAATTGTAGTCCTTTGGAGTACAGGACGTGGCTGCATATCATATGACCAGGTGGCTGGGTTTCAGATCAAAGCACGGCCCAGACATAAAAGCCACCTCGGTTGTGACGTCAGTGCATCGAAAGTCGCTAAGAGCATGGGGTCCTGGGCTCTGACCCAATGGCCACCCACCTTGCAGAACCACCAGCGCATGAGGGTCCTGGCGCTTCCCAAAGCCCAACCTTCTAGGTCTCTCGAACGGTCGTTGGGGATTCTTTTTCTGGCTCAAGCGCCACCGATGACATGCGTCAAATCATGACAAATCAGGATGAAGCAAACAGCGGTGGCAAATGTTGGGCAAGCTCATGCAACTCGATGCCCTGAGGAACTCGAAAGCAAAAGCAGATTGCCAAGTGAACTGGCTCCACGGATGGGCCGAGTCACTTGTACCCCGACTTTCAAAGGACCACGACCACGACCTCTCTTGCTTTAAGGTCTCCACCTGCTCCCATGTCGCCATGCAGCCTGACTTGCCTGACTCGCCCATAGACCTCGCAGAGGACCTCCCTGATGACGTGCTCGCGCGCGTGCTCGCGCACGGCCGCGCGCGGGAGGCCGGGCGCTGTGCCGCGACGGCGCGGGCGCTGCGGGCGGCGGCGGAGTCCACGGCGCAGCGGCTTTGGGCACAGCTCTTTGGTGCGTCCACGTGTCATGGGCTCGATGGATGGGCAAAGGCCTGGAATCGCCTGGACCTGGCGAGGTCAGAGGAGCTGGGGAAGGTCAAGGAGAGCTTTGTATGGGCAGCTGGACATGGCCTGCCCGAGAGAGAAGAAGGTTTTGGTATAATTAATTTGTTTGTTTAAGTTTTGCACTTGCAGGAAGACCAACCCAAAACATCCAAAACTAGCTGACTTGCCCATAGAACTTGTACGCAAACCATTGAACCCACTGCAAGGTTACTGCAGCTACCTGGCCCAAAGGGCCTTCTGGGCGCAGAGCCACTGTCCCTCTGCCTCGCTCCAGCTGCTGAACGGCGCGCTCCCTCGCGCGGCGCAGCGGCGCCAGGTGGGAGCCGTGGAGCTGCTACTGGAGCTGCGAGCTGAAGTTGAAGCTCGGTGAGGGTCGTCCGGACCCATCTCTCTGGTTCTCACCATCTGGGTGCCATTCTCGGAAGGGGTGCCAGACGACCATCCTAGGAGTGGTCCGGTTTTTTCAGAAAACAGGTGGGGTCCCTACCTAGGAGTTGATGGTTTTCCAAGCATTGAAGCAGGTGGGTGCTTGGCGTTTCATGGTGTTGTGCCGTGCCTGAAGCAGCATCCATCCGCAAATTTGGGTTCTAGGTGTCTAATTCAGAAATGGATGAGCAAGAAGGACCAATCGAAATCTGCGGTTTGCTTCTTAACCTGAACTCCCACCTCCAGAGAGAGTTGCGCCCTGGTTGCCCCACTCCCTCAAGCTCGCAGAAGTCTTCAGTCTCGAAATCTTCAGTCTACCCAGTATGAAAAGGATCTTAAACTGAGTCACGTCTGGCATAAGTATGTCCAACAAACCTACCTCTGAACACGTTCCACCACTACAGGGCGGCACTTGTGGATGGTGCCCTGGGTTTACCCCACGTCCGGGTGACGTGACGTGGGATTCGCGCTTCTCTTAGGACTGCCTGGGCAAGGGTGGCGCGAGCGCCCTCTTCTGGTCGGCCCGGCATGGCGACGTGCCCTCGCTTCGCCTCCTGCTGGCCGCCGGCGCCTCGCCGCTGCGCGGCGGACCCGCCCACGCGGGCGAGGGGAAAGGCCCGAAGTACCCGGGGGGCGAGTGCGCCCTCTCAGCGGCCTTGCAGGCGAGGGGTCTTCAAGGTGTCCTAGTGACACCTCCTAAGAAGTCCCTGAAGTTCCAAGTCTTTGGCATTTCCAACCTCCCACATGAAACCGACTCCAGCTTCTCAAGCGTCTCGCTCCTGCTCTCCGCTCCAGGCGCCGGCCGAGAAGGCCTCCGGCGCCCGCCTGGAGGCGCTGCGCTTGATGGCCACGCAGCTCACGCCGGAGGAGCGCCGGAGCGGCCCCGCGCGGCGCGCGGTGCTGGCGGCCTGCGAGGTGCGCGGTGCCAGGGGCGGGTAATCGGCGGCGTAATCGGCGAGGTTACTGCGAGGTTGGAAGGGTGGAAATGGATTGAGGGGATGGTGCTGCGCAGGCGATGTTCGAGGTGAACTAAGGGGTTGGAGTTTGAGCTATTTTGGACCTGGGGCCGTCAGCGTTTGGGCCAGCCAGCGATGCAGAAAGGTGAAAAAGGAAAAGCTATAGACAAAAGCTCGGCTCATTGGTTGATATTTATCCCTGTGCCTTTTTCATCTAAATCATTTTCATATGGTTTACGGTTTGCCCTCGAGGAAAAACCCAAAGAATTGCGGTTTTCAATGCCCATCCCCACCTTGGAGGCCGGCGTGGTGGCCTATGTCTCGGTGCTCCTCGACCAGCTGGGCGCCGGTCCCGCCGACAACGCCGCGCCCGACGCGGCGCCGGGCGCCGCGGCCGATGTGGAGGGGGAGGAGATGCCGCTGCTGGTGGCCTTGAGCCAGGGCTTCTCAGAGGTGGCCGAGCTGATCCTGCAGGACAAGGCAGGGCGAAGACGAAGACCAGTGGAGCTGTCAACATCCAGCCCGGAAGTGTTTTCGGATTTCGATCCTTTTGTGACTTCCTCGGGTTTTTTGGGGTCCAAACCTGAGATCTGCGAGTGAGGCCGTGGCGGGTCAGATCAACCTCACCTTGGCCTCCGGCAAGTCGCCGCTGCACCTGGCGGCCGAGCGGGGTGATCGGCGGGTGCTGCAGCTGCTGCTGCGGGCGCGCGCCACGTTGGATGCGACCACCTCTTCCGGGAGGACGGCTTTGCACCTGGCGGTGGAGCATGATTATGAGCAAGCGGTGCAGGTGCGGGCTGAGGGCAAGGAGGGGGGGTGTCACATGCGGTTCCCTCCCATGTCCTGTTGGGTCCTTGGGTCATTGGTCCGACCGAAGGGTCACCGGTGGGAAATCTCTTGCACCCTGAAGGATTGAGGATGTTGATTTTGTTGAGGCGATGCGACCCACTTTCAGAAGACATTTGTACGGTTTTCTCCACCCCACCTGCTTTCAGAGGGTTTGCGCCCTTTGGCTCATAGATGCACCAGGCCATCTGTGAGAATGAAGCCACAGAGGTTCGGCACTTGCTCCAAGAGACGCCCAACGGCGCCTCCCCTGTGTGCCTGGCGGAGCGCCGTGGCAAGCCGATGCTGATCCTGCCCATGCTCCGGTGTTACCACCGACATCTGCGGGACAGGTACCTGGCAGGGAAGCTCCAAGATGCCTACGACCAGGTGAGCGATCCGCAACTCACCGCCTTGTGTTTGAAGCACCGCGATGCCCTCTTCTTGACCGAAGAGGCTCCCGAGAAAAAGCCGGTCACGCAGTCCGGCAAGGTGGCCTCGCTCCGTTTGCTGCCGCTGGTCGAGGAGGGCGATAAGCTGAAGCGCTACCAGCGGGTGCTGGACAAGACGCGCTGGAGCGGCCTCGATGGCGACCTCGTGGGCCGCGGTCGCTTGCGTTCGCAGCTGGACCTCGACGGCGGCGCCACGCGCGCCGCGCGGGGCGACGCCGGCGCGCGGCCGCGCGCGGCCACGGGCGAGCGGAAGCCCTGGGGCTCTGGAGTGGCGAAGCCAAAGCGGCCGCAGTCTGCGACGAGTGGAGGGCGAGGTGGCCCCTACCAAGGCTGAGGGGGGTTGACTCACAACTCGGCTCAAAACTGGATGAGATTCAGCGCATCTGGCTCACTATATTATAGGGCTATCAGGAACCCTCACAGTGCTGCCTTTCAGTTCACCCCATTGAAACACCCAGGATCTGTAGGGCTACGCCACGCCGGCACCTTCGTATAAAAATCAATTTTGCATCATCGGTGAGCCAACGAACCATCTCGATGGAAGACCACTGGAACCATGCCCGCCCCCCTGGAGGCACTAGTTGTCCTCCATCCTCCCAGCTGCTGAAGCGCGGCTCAAAGCCAGCGCACCCTCCACCGGCAGCACCGCCTCGCGCAGCGGCTGGGCAGATTGAGGCAGCGGCCCTGGCGGCGGAGGATGAGATGGAAGACTTGATGTGGGAGTTTTTCGAGACGACTGTGACCTGGCATTGGTCAAAGATGATTTCTGGTGTATGAGTGTAGTGCTGCGAGAAATCATTTTTGATGAGTTATAAGGCTGTGAGAATGTTTGTTGTGCAGTCATGCATGCCCGTGGAAAACACAATCTTCTGACGAGGATCCTGGAATCTTTTGCAATTCTACGAAGAATGCTTTGTTTCCTTCTAAGTTTCTTGAAGCTAAGGAGATGGAGAATGAGATAGAGCATGAGATGTATTCCTCTGAGGAGGACTGAATTGGCCCCAATGTGGGCTCACATGTCTCACGGCTTTTGAACAATTGACCGCGCAAAAGAGGGTTGCGGGTCTGTGGAAACGGTCCCTGAAGTATTTTGGACGATCTGCCCAGAAGTGGTGGCACCTGTAGACAGGTCATTTCCAAGTGCTCTTAGTAAGCGGGACCTCGACTCCCGCATCAGCGGGCCTCAAACCTCGAAGCTTTGCGGGGGGGGGTCGCCATAGATCTCCGCCAACTCCACAGAGCTCACCACAAGTATATATATATATATATCTCTGTGTGTGTGTGTATACATAGAGATGCGCTCGTGAGTCGGTTCTTCCTCCCCTCCGGCAACCATTGAAGGGCGGCACCTGGCCCTGGCGAACCCTGCAGGCTCGGTCGCTTTCTCGGTGGCAGGTGCCCTGCCACTTCCACCCGGAGCCGCCCGTGTCGGTGACGAGCCCGGCGTCGTCCCGGCCGAGGCGTGTCGGAGGGAGGAGCGAGTGGGTGGAAGGGTCCGAGGAGTCCAGGAGATCCAGAAAAAACCATCCCAGACTCGCCTCCAGCACCGCGGTGCTGGTGGTGATTGGATGGAAGCCCAATCCAAGGCACAGGAGTCAAGGGGGTGTCCATCAAACATCCGTGGATTCCGTGGATTCGGTGCTCCGAATCGCTTCTTTCTTTGGGGCTGCGAGTCCGGAGCTCGAAGGGACGGATGGTGGTCTCGGGACTGTGTTGGGAAGCCGGTTCAACACCCGTTCGCAGCGGAGCGACCGTTCGCAGCGAGAGAACCGTCCCGACCGTTCGGCGTTGAGAAAAACAGGAGAAAACAGGGCTCTTGCTGCTGGGTGCTTGCATCCGTGGGTTTTTTTTGAGAGAGCGCCTCAAAGGTCTGCTGCAGTTTCGCTTCTCTTCAGTGTGCCACTTTTCGTCGAAGAGAAGGGCCAAGCCACCCGCCGGGCCGGCAGACGGCAGACGAACAGTCTCGATGCGTTCGCCACCTCGCACCTCCCAGAAGCAAGGACACATAAGGACACGTTGTTTACTCGATGGGTGGCGAAGTACACACCTGTTGTGGGCTCTCTGTCGGTCCACCGACCCCGGCATTTGGCCTTGCAGGTTGCAGGCGGCGCACTCAGAAGGTTTGATCGTTCAAAGCATGGGTGTGTCTCAAACGACGGAAGCCCCGCAACCAAAAACGTTTATCTTATTTTTTGGAGTCTTTTTGGGCATCTCCTGGCATCTCCTCCTGCAGTGGGTCAAGAAAAAGCTCTCAGCATCTCTCTGTGAGTGAACCCATTCGGTCAGATTTGAACAGTCAAGGTTTTGGGCATTGGCTGCAGATGAACAAAAACATACAAAAACACTAGCCGTGGAGACGGGCTAAGGAAGGTCCAGTGGTGGATGGCAGATCAGACGATGCACATTCCCTTTTGGGCATTTTCATGTTACCCTTTTTGGTTGGGACTTGGCAAGTAACATTTACCTGATGTAACTTACCTGTTACCTTTTCATGTTAGTGTTACCCATGTTCAGGTTTCATGGAACTTGGCCAGTTACGGTCAGACCATGTGGCGTTTCAAGGATCGAAGCCTCAATGACATCAGCTTGGAGTACAGCTATGAGGAGCTGAAACAGGTGGGGCTGCCACGAGGTCGTCGCGTGAGACCGTCGTGACCGGAAACATCCGCTCGGACCGCTGGTGATTGGAACTACACTGCTGGACTGCACGTTTTTGTGCTACAAGGGTTGGATTCCTTTTCGTTCAACGGTGTTGGCAGTTGGGTTGTCCACTTAGGTCATTGTTGGCTGTATCAAATGCCACAGCATTTGTTTGACCGCTCGTTTTGGTCAACAAAGGAAATAAAGGATTCCATGCATCAGGTTCAACCAACATGGCAACATGAACACTTTGTTACTTGTTGGAACCTTGTATTTCCTGGGGCGGGGCCTTCACAGCCATGTTGTATCATTTTGTGCTGAATAAGCCATGGCCAAAATATTGGGCTAGACTCTAGACCATAGAGAAAGGAGTTAAAGACATGAATAGAACACTTTTTTTCTTCTTCGGTGCCAAAGCTGCATCCGTGAAAACAAATTCACCCTCGTGGTGAATTGGAGAGATGCCTGTGCCTGGTGAATTCGAGCTCAGAAGTTGGCCGCTTCGGAGCGGAGAAAGGTGTCGTCGACGTCGCTTCGGAGCGAACGCGGCGACGTCCCAAGGCCACCAGGAACTTTGACGATGCGGTCAAGCTGGGCCACTTGGTCGCAGACGGCGCGGTTGCGGCGCTGTTGTCCAGTCGGTCCACCTGCTTCAGTAGAGCTATGCTGCACCACTCATCGCCTCAAAACAGGTATATATATATATATAAGAGATATATACTCCTATGCCAGAAGCAGTGGATTTTCTCAAAATTGGGAGTTTAGTTTTAGTCCATGTAAAGTTCATCCAGCAACGAACCAGTCCAAAAAAAGCCACACGGAATATGTCCCTGCTCTTTTGTGGTGGAGTGAGCATCACTCTACTCGTGTAGATGGACATGTTCTTATCCCCACCAGACCCACAAACCCAGCATTCAGGCTCGGGCTCCTACGGTGCGGCAGCTCAGGGGGTCACCAGCTCATGCAGATTCATGCAGTCTGGTGTGCCACCGCACCAGCCGGGAGGGAGGTCTTGGAAGGGGCCTCCACCCGGCTTCAGCTTGGCTCAGGTGGAGTGTTCAAAGGAGTGCTCAAGGACTGATTCTTTTTGCTCCTTGCGGGTGGATTCGGCGTGAAAGTAGATCAGATGAACAGATGCTCTGCCCGCAATCGTCCCAAACCCAGCAGGATTTGGGAAAGGTTCTTTAGGCCTTTGGGTTTGATGATTCCACGGCATTTTTGTCGAAGCTGGGAGATTTCATGGTGGCCACTGCGTGGAAACTGGATCAATGCGATTCTTGTTTGTAAGTGATGGATGGCAACTTTTGACTTGTATATACACGTGTACATTGCATGCATTGGAATCGTACTGATGGGCTCACGACAGACTACAGGGACTACAGGGCATTTTCGTGTTCAAAGCCAGAGCATGATGGGGTCAGCTTGAATTGGGATTAGTTGGGATTTCGGTGCCAACAAATCGGGGGTTTCTACATAAGCCGTGATTCCTGTTGCACCCGATCTGCTTGGGACACTCGGCTCCAAGCGCTCGAGGAGGGAACCGAGGTGGCCATCAAGGCACTGAGAAGCGGTTGGATGGCGTGGCCATGTGGCGTCCCCGAAGGGTGGATTGGGTGATGGTGATGGGTTGCATCTTACTAAGCTACTAAGCACCTTAAGCAAATTGCTGGTCAAGGTGATGGATGGTGCGAGCCGGCTCGAGTTAGAATGGCAACATAGAAATAACAGAAGGGTGGAAGGATGGATCGTACTTGGTGATTTCAGAGATTTCGTTTGTTTTTGTTGGGACTTCTTCCATGCGTTGCCTCGTTGTGGTCAGGGATCAGGCTTAAAATTGTGACACCTTACTGATCGAGACCGGACAGAGCACGCAGGAAGTGCACAGAATGACTCGGTGTGTCAGTTTCATCTTGTGTCCAGGCTTTCCATGTGCTGTGACCCAATGTGGGGCGGGGCGCAGGGTGAAACAAAACGAAGCCGCAGGACCTTCACAGGTCACCAATAAAAGAGTGGAACAAGTTGAGTACTCGATTTATGTAGACCCTACTGCCCTGCAAAACCATGATAGGCACAATTCGTACGTCTTTCACAGGTACATCCTGCTCCAGGATGTCAATTTCACCTCAAAAGCAGACTGATCAACCTCATTTGTGTGGAGCAGTGCCAAGAAATTGACGGCAACATCCACATTCTCCTGAGCGGCAAGCTGACCTGGCTCCCTTCTCCCCCCCAGCCTAGCTGGGGCAAGATTTCAATCTGAGGGCGATGGAGGGAGGGAGATAGAGAGAACATGTATGTGTATCTCCCTCTCTTAATGTATATAATACATAGGTGTATATATATATATATGATATGCAATATGCATCGTGTTGCCTGTTGCCTAGTTGGCTCCGCGGACCGTCTTGGACCCTAAGGGGTTCAGATCCCACAATGGTTAGATGACTGGGTGACACTGCTTCGGCACCAAGAGAATCCACCCACGGGCCCCATGTGCGCGGTGCCGCGCCCAAGACGACACATCGCTCCACATGTTTCCCCGGGAGGTTCTCGAGGTGCCCAATGAGGCTGGCTTCGAGGAGGAGGTGAAGGTGCGACTTTGCACCCGAATGGTGTGACTGGACCAAGGGGAGCCGGGATGGCGGGCGTTGGCGGGCGTTGGCGGGCGTTGGCGTTGGAAAGGTTTGCCTTGGCCTGCCTTGCGTGAAGCAGTCAGTAGCAGGGGACCAGCAGATGCAACACATAACTGGAGACTCGCCCCAGTTCCGCCCCATGCTTCCAAGCCTGTTTCACTAGTTTCATGGTGTTACCAGTTTCAGCCCTTCCGAGACTTGAGACCCCTCCGGAGGATGAGACCCCAGATTCCTCTATGAGCGTTCATTCCGGGAGTGATCACTTTCTTCCCCGTCGATCCGTTCATTCCATGAGGTTTCAGCCCTGAAAGAGTTCAGTGCCTGTTGCCTGCCTCAGCAACAGGTCCTCAGCAAGTTCCGTCACCCCAACTTGGTGATTCTCATGGGTTTGGGGCACCGAGTGAGCTGAGCTTCCGCCGTTTGGGAGGTGGGAGGTGGGTTGGTTGGTTGTGTGGAATGACATGAAATGAATGGGGCTTTGTGGGTTTGGGAGTTTGAGGCCCTGCACCAGGGGGATGACCATGGGCCAGAGTGTGGAGGGCGGGCACTGAGGTGGGTTAACATGGTTAAGTGGCCCATACCTGCCCAACTGGCAGTGGATGAGCTTTGTGGAGTCGTGGAGTGGCGTTGCTTTGCGTCAAGTTGACATCGCAGACTTGGCGATGGACATGGTGAAGGTGTTGAAGGCCAAAACCAATCATTTCTCTTGAAGATGTTGAAGGTGCGCAGGGTGAGTAATCATACAGGGTGTTAGACGGACTTTAGTTTGCTGCTCAAAAAGG